TTTGAAGATAAGAAAAGTACTCGAAAAGCCATATTCCACAATAATTTACAGATTTAAAGATAACACAACTAAAGGACAGAAAACGTCTTGTCCTGCCTTTTGAAAATGTTATTGTCACTCTATCCTTTATAAAATTAATTTCAGTTAATTACTTTTATTAAAGCAATAATATAGGTATGCAACAATCAGCCATTCTTTTGTTTAATTAATAATTACTGCACTCATAATGTATTCATTAAGTAAACGATATAAAAATTATTATAAGAACCCTAAAGTCGTATAATAAATTTGAAAGTTACCTTTCCCCGATAGATTTACTGAGATTTTAAATTAGAAGCTTCTTCTCTCACTCTCTCCTTCTTTCTTTCTCTCTCTCTCTCTCTTTCTTTATCTCTCTCTCTCTCTCTCATTCTCTCCCTCATTTTTTGTACAAATGTGTATTATAGTTTACATATGAAATTATCGTAATTTCAAATTAATACAACCACTGTAATTCAGAGTAAATCGCTTGAATGTACCAACACAATAAAATTGATCGATTGAACCTTTGTTACTGTTGTCTGTACAACTTAATGGCTTCTAAATCTATAATCGTCTACATACATACATACAATGAACGTGTTACTCTTGTATAAACATCGGTGATTTGGCAGCGGATAATTGAACATCGTCTCTATTTTTGTTTCTACAATACAGAGATGTTAAAGAATTTAATCGTCAACATTATTAGTATGAGTTTTCACTGTTGAAATACCGTATTTTAAACATAATGGGAATATGAATTCAATTTAATTATTAGCAAGGGGCAAGCGTGTAAGCGTAGATGTATGAATGTAGAAGAATCGAGAGAGATGTGAGGACCGCGACAAATGGAGGTCTGTGGTCTCTGCCTACCCCTCTGGGTTATGAGCGTGCAGGGGTTAATTGTACGACGTATTTATGATGTTGCCTATAGCAAATTATTCGGTACCTACTAAGTTTCGTAAAATCGTTTAAAATACATATATAAATTAATCTTTTTTCCGTGTTTTTAAGGTTTATATCTGGGAACTAACGTTCGTAAACACGTAACTCACGTGCCAATTTTTTTTACAACACGCTACAAATCTGCTCCTTCTATTTACAAACAGTTTTTAACGTCTACACACAGACAAAGATTGTAAAAAGATTTAAAACTATCGATCATCATTTTTAATTAAAAAAATTACAGCAAATCTCATGATAAATTACTTAATAATTGGACTAAGAGTAAACAGAATACTATAATACTGTAACACATGTCAGCCATTAAGTTTTTTCACTTACGGTGGGTTTTTGAGACTTAAATCCCCGTTTAAACATATTTTTCAAAATTTTAGTCTTAGAAACCAACGGTTATTCAGTTATATTAAGAAAAATCTTATATTAAAAATGTGATATCACAATAAAAGGTTACACAATATTACAGTTATAATAGTTTTTATACAAAAAAATGTACTATTTGTCTATGGCAAGAATAATTCGGATTTGGATTGGAACGCGAAATACAATTATCTATCATACGGCTAAACGTTGCGTGATATGTCTGACGTAAGTTAAACTAATTCTGTATACTTCTAAACGTATCACAATCAAAGAAACAAATAGAACCCACAATTTTCTTTATAACCTAATGCGTGACGTCACCAAACAAAAATAACGTCCGTTGATGACGCGCAAAAGATCCATTCATTCCTACTGAAACTATATTTAGAAAACATGACGCTTACAGACTTTAAAAAAAAATAAACAAGTACAAAGAGAAGAGTTGTTTTGGTTGTCTTATGAAAACTTTAATATTACGTAGTTTTTTTATGATTCCATGCTACAATAACGTTTCAGTTGTTTTTAAAAAACCTTATTTCCATTGTTGTTTCATGAAAGATTCCAACCACGCGAAATAAAAAAAACATAATTAATTAGTCTATGTGTTCTTCCAGAGTATGTTGTACATGTGTGCCAAATTTCATCAAAATCCGTTGAGCCGTCCCGGAGATACATTCAAACAAATATCCATTCATCCATCTAAACATACTACATACATCCAAGAAACAACAATGTGATTAAGAAATTAGTTAATTAAAGTTCAAACAAGTTATTAAATACTTTTAATTAACGAATATGTCTGGATGCGAAATAAACGAATAAAACAGTATTCAAACATTTACTTAACACGTTTAATTCCCTTACGATTTAAATGTATTTTAAGTGAACTCGTAGTGGGTTTCTGAAATTAAAATCTCAGTATAAAACATATTGTTATCTCTGTTTTGTCAAAGATAATGACAAGGATGACGAAAAGTTTTATACAAGATTTTGGTCTCAGAAACCAATGGTTGGAAGGCAATTCGGTGACACTTAACGTGTTAATTCATTTTCGCATAATTGCTTTGTCTTCAATTTTATTATTGAGTTTTTTATAACACAGAATAAATGCTTAATTACTACGTGCCATTTTTTTCTTGTGAATTTTGTGCGAAATATCGGCCAAGGTCGTATAGTCACCGGACATGTCGATTTATTTTAACGATTCATGAATGAAAATAACCAAACGTGTGCTGGAAAGACACAAACAGAGAATTCCGAGAAAATCAATCTTGTGACTACATGCCGCATTCCAATTCTTGCGTCTAATGCCAATAGTAATTTGACTTGTCATATTTAAAACAATTAGGAAAGACATAGTCAACCACGCTGGCCAAGTGCGGGTTGGTAGACTTCACACATATCTTTGAATTTCTTCTCAGATATGTGCAGGTTGCATCACGATGTTTTCCTTCACCGTAAGAACGTCGGATAAATGTACATATGTATCGGAAAAAGAAAAACACATTGGTACAAGGCGGGTTAAAACCCAGGATCTGCATATTGCAAGTCAAGTGCTTGACACCTGAGCCACCGACGCTCTAAGTTGGGACTATAAGTTTGCAGAATTACTCTTTACAGTCAGAGGCCATTACCGAAAAACTTGAACACAAAAACATATGGCTATATCTCTCTCACATTCAAAACTCAATTGTTAGACGAAGTAAAGAGTTTTTCCTGTACAATATTTCTCAGATTCGTGTAACGTTTGTGGTTGATTACATTTACTTTATACATAACATCATACGTATTATAATTAAAATAATATAAACAATATAAGAATTCACAACAACATTTCTGTTACGGCAATAAAATGTAGAATAATTAACAAAGGAAACAACAAATTATATTACAATTAGCTGGCGCTCGCGCGGCTTTTAATTCCTTTATTTAAACACTTATTTTGTAGTCTATGTGTTCTTCTAGACTATGTTCTACATCTATGCCAAAGTTCAGCAGGATCCGTTCAGTCGTTCTGGAGATACCGTCAAACAAACAAACATCCATCCATCTATCTAAACATTCGCATTTATAACATTAATAAGATAGTAAGATTGTTGCAGAACTACCAAAGTGTCCAACAATTATTCTTTAATAAGATTCAAATAATTCTTACAGGTTATAACCTTATTGCTATAGCATAGTATAGCTTCTTAATTATTTGTACGTTTTTAACATTAGGTGCGATAAAAAACAAGAAGGATAAGCGCAAATTACAGATGTTAAAATTCTATTTCGGATTCATATCCCATTTTTTATGTTATCGTAAACAGTTACAATAATACGTAAAAGTTGAATATTCGCGTTTAACTTTACTCATATTCCAATATGAAACATGATCATTGGAAATAGCTACGTAGCTACGAGTACGAACTCTCCGTACTATAAATCTCTAAACATTTCTTTCGCGAAAGCGAGATAGCAATATAAAGGAAGTATGACATCGACCTTGTACATAACCTCGCTAATATTTATCCGTCTATTTTGGCGCCAACTCTCCTACGCCTGACAGGGATACCAACACGTCAGGATTACGTTTGGCATTTGTTTTTGTTATGAGATTTAGGCAAAAGCTTCTCCCACATTATGCCAAATATTTTAATTTAAATGACGCACTCTGAATTGTTAATTAAGGGCTAAGAGAGACATGAGAGTGTCTGAATTAAATCATTACTAAGTGTATATCAATAATTAATTCTAAAATATTATTATTGTATATAGAAAGGATTACATTTTTTGAGAAAAAAATCTACGGATTTCTGTCAACAATTTTGATAACCCTACATTACATAATCATGGAGATTGATTATTCCTAACGACTTTGCTATTTTGGCAACATAATGAAGTGTTCGTGGTATACGATCGTCTTTTCTGGAAACACCTCTACGCCTAATTGACAGCTTTCATTGGGTATAATTAGTGTGTTAATGAAATTTTACACGCCACCACATGTACCACGTGAAATGCTTTTGAAACACGTGCATTATACGACGTAGACACGCCAATGTTTTGACTGGAAATTCGCATTGTACCGTATTCATTTCTAAAGTTAAACTCTTAATATTTTAATGAAAAGTATTTACAAAAGAGGTGATTTCCAGTAATGAAAAATAATAGAAATTTGCACAAATTTGAATTCAGAATACATTAGACCGTTAGAGACACAGATTTATATAAATAAATAGGCCATTGTTTGGAATTGACAAGTTTGCGTCGTACCGATTTAAATGCGCCTGTCGAAGTTCCTGACAGTGTATTCTATCTCAATTATTAGTCCGAATCAGTCAGCGTCAGAATGCTAAAGATCAAATAAGCACAAAATACCAAGGTTTATAGCCCGTCCTATTATACTTCGATATGCTGTCTACAACAAGTCTTCGACAAGGTTATCTCAACAAGTGGGTATTATTCAAACTAAATTATGACACACTAGCGCCCCTCTGTATACGTCAAAAAATGGCACAAGATCCTCATTGTACCGTAGCTGCCAGAGCAGCGCTTCTCTCACTGGTTCAGACATATTTGTTTGACTATATTCTCTACCGAAGTGTCTTTTAAACTGTGTAATTTAATAATTGTTTCATAGAGAGCTTATGTTACATTTACCTTGGTTCCAGGATAACCGGCGGTGAGCTGTTCGAACGTGTGATCGATGAGGATTTTGTGCTGACGGAGCGTGCCTGTACCGTGTTCATGCGGCAGATCTGCGAAGGCATTGAATTTGTACACAGACAGAATATATTGCATCTTGATATGAAGGTAAACCAAAGAGTTTCGTAAACTTTTTTAAGTAAGGTAGCTCGTGGTTCACCTGTTTTACATGAATAAAACCATATGATTAACTTGTGGTTACGTGTAACGCTAAGATCTGTGACTCGAAATCTATAAAATGCTTTAGTTTTAAAAGATATATGTAAAGTTGCACCCCCTGTCGATAGCGTTACCCTCCTGTTACTAGTCAACGTATAATTAACACCTAATAATCAATTTCATCGCCAACAATTTATAGAGAACTGTAAATTTATCAACAACGAACACGCTTCAATTACACAAACACGCTATAAATTTCTCCTAATCAAAATTACAATGTCGTTTCAATCTCCCACGTCCACATCTTGGTAACACTCCAAACCGTAAATCAATATGGCGGAAAAACGCGCGGGAGTTTTATGATTTGTCCGCCATGATAGTTCTTTTATTGCGCGCTTTTATTTCTGTCAACCGACATTTAAAAAATTCCACAATTTTTTTTGTTAAATTCTATTACGGGCCAGTACAAATTACATGTCATCTTTGCCTTGCCTTTTTTAATCTCATTCATAATTTATTTTTAATTACAGCCAGAAAACATTTTATGTCTGACAAAGTCTGGGAACAGAATAAAGATCATCGACTTCGGATTAGCGAGGTTCTACGACCCTGAGAAGAAACTGCAAGTATTGTTCGGTACTCCGGAGTTTGTGGCACCAGAAGTGGTGAACTTCGATCAAATCGGTTACGGCACTGATATGTGGTCGATTGGCGTTATTTGTTACGTGCTGTAAGTTGCTTTTGATATCAATTATTTTTAAACTTTTAAAATCATACGTGTATTATAATGTACTCGAATACGCGAGAAAACTATATGAGCGAGAGTCATTGTACGGTTCCGATGGACGACCTTCATAAGCGAGAAACTTGGTTTAGAGAGAAACCTCTATAAGCCAGAACAATATCGTGGACCCTTGAATAACATTTAGCCAGCTTCAAGTGTATATCAAGAGATCGAATAAGAATTCAAAAGGTTAAAAGATTGCAGATGATGAACAGAAAAATTATATTCCCCTCAAATTTTATCATCAATTAGTTTTGTTTTAACATGGCTCTTTTATTATTACAGATTATCGGGCTTGTCACCATTTATGGGCGAGACGGATATTGAAACAATGGCGAATGTTACCGTTGCAAAGTACGATTTCGACGACGAAGCGTTCAACGAAATATCTGAGGATGCAAAGGATTTCATACAGAAACTGCTCGTCAAGGACAAAGAGTAAGTATACTACGAGTATATGTGTAGACGCCATTTTGTAAAAAGCCATCATAATTTTATCTTAGTTAAGTGTCAAACAAAATGGCGGCTACATATGTACTGAACGTAGATTTTACTAGTGTGATTTTTTGTGTGAATAAATCCCTTTTATTTAGATATGTTTTAGTGCTTGAGTGTCACATTTTTTTTTATTTCGAAATCATCGTAAACTATTTACGGATTGAAATTTTTGAATAGAATATAAAAAGTATATTCTTAAAGATAAGTTTTCTTAGTTTTTTTTATAAAAAGCTGCCTTATAAGTCAGCCTGGATAAAGACCCTTTGTTACTGGTGTTTAATTTGTTCTTCATCCAACACAAGTCCTATCACTAACAGAATATCGTAATCATTGTATTTATTCGCCTCATAACATAAGTAGATTGTAGAGCCCTTAGGTGAATGATCTAACAATTACTTTATAGATTTAGTTTAGAAATTTAGAACTAAATATTTTTAGAATTAAAATTAAACGATCCATTTCCCTCACATCCATATCGATCCATAAATGTGCACTCACTATATCCTCAAACATAATTCCTGCTGCACTCATAAGGTGTTGGGTCATAGTAACAAGGGTCTTTGTCGCAGGTCGCGGCCGAGTGCCACCGAATGCTTGCGTCACCGTTGGCTCCTCAAACGCTCGCAAGTGAAGAAAGACAAACCCAGACCGCAAACATCGCCAAAACACGAACTAGACGTCGCTAAAGACAACCTACGTCTCTTCGTGGAAAGATGGAGCGAACATCCGAACTCACCCTACGTCTTCGATAACCAGGCGCATGAAATCATCTGCCTCGTCAATGGAAATTGCGAGAGATCATCCATCGGAGGCTGCTCACCATCCCCTAGGAGTTCCCTCAGCAGTTCCCCAGATATAATCTTCGATGAAGACGATCTTGAACCCCCTCCTTTAAGAGATCCAACGCCTCTTGCACAAAGATATAACCCAGTGGAAAGACGAGCATCGGACAGCAGTTGTTTCTTGCACAAAAAACATGACGTCTTAGTCAGAAAGAATTTAGCCGAGGAAATAAAGAAATTATCTGATCATTTGTTCATGTTGTCAACTATGAGCACGGACCTCGTCAATAATAATAGCTTTAAGGAATTTGATAAAAATGCAACGGAAATAAAGACAGCAACCAAGGAAGAAAAGAAATTGACGAACGGCTTTAAGACAGAATCAAAACCGTTGATAAAAACTATAACAAATGGAGATGCCAATAAAACAGAAAGGAAAGTATTCACATCAAAATCCAGTAATAAGATAAATTCCACTTTCTTGACGGAGAGGGAACAAGAAAAACCGATGACGAGCAAAATGCCATGGGCGAAATCAACTAGATCGAAAAGATTGACGAATTTGAGTCGAGATGTTCCTGACCAGCCTATAGACCGCCGGAGCACATTCTTCGAGGAATTCGACAAAAGGCGAGAGATAATTGGTAAGTTAGTAAATAGCTCCAGCAATGGAAGACAGTTACCATATAGACGAGGAGATGAGAATAATGCTCATAGGACAAAAGACCGTCTATTGCATCTCCTAGAAAAATGGGCGGACACAGAAGTCGAAGGAGAGAGAACAGCGGGAGGTACATCTAATTGTGGAAGACATCAGTCGATATCTCTCGAGTGGTCGCCCTCGAATCAACTAGCCCAGAACTCTATGTCCAGTCTTCACGCTTTTTTTCAAAGACAAACATCAGACGAAAAGAAGCAAAGGAAGAAATGACTAGTGAAATAGTATATGTGTAAGAAATTGTATGTATGTATTGAAAACAGGGACTTCAGTGCCATGACATTGTGTTGTTCAGAAAGGTCGACTTTGAAACGGTTGAACCAGTTTGAGTTTTAAAAAGATAAATAAATTTTTCGATCAAAAAAGGTTTTACTCGTAATAGTAAAAGATCTCAATTTGTGAATAATATTTATTTTATTCTTAACCAACAGGCGCTTTATTCAAATTTATTATAATTATTAAGATAATATTTGAAGACAGTGAAAAAACCCAGTTACTTTACAAGTCTATGATTTATTTCAATCTAAACCTATCTCGTACCTGGCAGCCATTACGTTTTTTTCGTTTACGTTTTAAATTTCTTGTTATAGTATATAATTCAAGAGTTTTTGCGAAAATTTTATATTACGATGAAAAAATTTTCTTTTGATTGGAACGAATCATACTGTTAACCCGTGTTAGGAGGGAGGGAGATGAGATTTAGAAGAAAAATCTGCTTAACGAGCCATCTAAAGAGCCAAGTGACAGTAACAACTGCAATAAAAGCGCTAAATGCTTACGCCTACATTGAAGGAGAATAAATTACGTACTCAAAACATTACAAAGTTTATCTTTCTGAATAAATGGTATGCGTGTTACCAAAGCGAGGTTATGAGATTGTATTGATAATAAGTTTTTCTTTTTTCATAAAAATGACAATGAAATGACAAAACTGTACGAATCTAGTCTCCGAACACAATTCTCTGTGTGACATACGATCGGAAATCAATACAAGACTGAGATGCAATTTCGAAATTGTTTCAACAACATTGACAATAGCTTAATTTTTGTACTTCTTGTAAATATTTTATAAATCATGTAAAAAGTCGGAACCTCTACTGATACTGTCCCGAATTTATTTAATTTTTTGTTCCTTTTTCCGTACTTAAGCGTAATGTACTAAATATATTGTTTTACAATACTTATGTTGTTAAAAATATAAGGCTTTATAAAAGATTTTGTTTCATTTTTAGAATTGCTTAATTCATTTTGTTAAATTAATTAGATAATGTTAATTACTCACTGTGTTCTAATCTAACTGGTTCGTTGCACTTTACCATAGTTTCACATTTGCACAACACAACTATTCTTTACATTTTTCAAAATTACCCGACCATTTTGACATTTACATTAACTTTAAATCTTTGACAGTTACTTTTTAAAATGAAAACAGCCCAAAGCACCCTATTTTTCTGACACCATTTTAACTTTTAATAGGATTTAATTAAAATTATTTTCTCATAGCGAGCGTCTCTCCGCTTCAGCCACATTGAGGCACCCGTGGTTGATCCAGTCGGCTCTTTGCACAGAACTACACGTCACTAAGACGAAACTGAAAAGATACGTCATCAAGAAACGATGGGCAAAAGCCGTGGCAGCTGTCATCGCTTTGAAGAGAATGGGCGCGAAGTTCGAAGATATCCATGAAAAACCGGATGCATCATCTGCTTAATCTATTGATTGGAATTAGTTAAGTTTGTTTTGAATTTATAATTATTTAAATTGATTGCATAAGAAGCTAGACAAGCCTTACTAATGATTAAAATTAACGTGTCTATAGTATAATAAAAAATAACAATACTGGTACTGTATAATGAAAATATTTGAGTAAAATCACGCTGTAGATTTTAAAGTTGTCTATTTCATTGACATGAAATCTGTTTACCATATAGTCAAGTAATAAAAGATCTGTTATAATAATGACCAAGCTTAGATTTTTATAATGGCAGCTATTTTTAATGTTTTCAATTTAAATTGACTGAATTTTTTTAAATTGAATATATCAACATTGAGACATATTTTATTAAGATTATTTTTTGTTATTTGGCTATGGCTATTTTATTCTAAGCCAATTTTTTTCTAATACTTTATCTTGTATTTTCTGTATACGATTTTTTTTAAACTTAGTTACTAATGTTGTTCATCGATAGCTAGGTATTTAGAGGCTATAAATCTGTAAGTTTTAATACCTGAAAATGTGATTATAAATTCACACACAATTTATTAAATCAAAATTATAACAAATCAATACTATGCTTCTCCTAAAAAGAAACCTTATTTATTTTTGTCTGATTTAAAAAATGAAGTGCCAAACTTGCAATTATCTACCTATATTTTTAATACTTCTTTTTAATCTCAAGAAGATCTGTTTTTTATTGCTAGTTATTTATAATTTAACATTTTAAATAACATTATTTTAATGAATTAAAAGACATTAACTGCTAATAATATATTTGTTGTGTTTTAATCATAGATAGAAAAATTTTCGACATTGTAAAATAATAACGGTGTCTAATTTTTTTTTTTTGCATTTTCTAATTATCTGCATGTTATATAAAATGTTTGTTTTTAGATAAATTATTTTTGAGTGTTAAAATATTATTAAGTTAATGATGCAACAACTATAATCTATTTTGTTGTTTACAAGAGGCTAAAAATATTTTAATCACACACCAATATTGGTAATGTTTCATTCCGCCCATTAGATGTTATAGAAAAATAATCATTTATAAAAATAAGTAAATTTTAACTGCATTTATATCCTGTAGAAATTTACTTTATTTGAGGTTATTAAAAAGTTTATTATTTTCTTTAGAGTTTTTATTTATTGCCAACCTTCAAATATATCCAAAGTAGACGTAGGTTGAGAGCAAAGGACACCGTGTTTGTCCCAAAAAAGGAACCATTTTGCCACAGCATTTGACTATTATCAATGTCAAAACCAGTCCTCTATTTTTAATTGGAATGTTAGCTCAACTTAAAGCCACTGCTTGGAAAATGAATAAATTTATTGGAATCAACACCCAAAGATTGCAACACTATGAAACGTCACCAATGCACGGCAACATTTACATCACAATTAAATCTTCAATTCATCAAAATTACTACTTGCTATGGCTAAGGGTTTTTTTGGAATATAAGTAAAAAACAATACTAGTTTTTAAATTTTAATAAAAACACCAAATGCTATCACACTGATGGCAACACCAGTGTAATAGCAGCTGACGTAAACTTGTAGATATTAACGGTAAGACTTCTGGTATCTGGCACGGGCACCCGGACCACCAAACTTCTTGGGCTCGCAACGACGAGGGTCGGCGACCAGCAAACTCCTGTCGTATTGTACCAGGATGTCTTTGATTTCCTTCTTGGATGCTTCATCTACATCTGTAATTTAATGAATTTTAAAAGGCATTATTTCTAAAATAATTTTAGAAGTAAAATAATCTTCAGAAAAATAAGTAAAACAATCTGAATTTGCACCATAGGTCAAATTAGTTATAACCTTTTTTAACTTAATAAAGTTCATTTCCTGACCCACTCTGTTTTAATACTTAGTTCATCTCAGAACTTATAAAGCGATCAACCTAGTTATCCATGCATCAAAATTTTCTGAATATAAATAATATTAACTATATCTCAAACAAACATTATGTTTGAATATAAATGTTGTGTACACTTCAAACAAGCAAGACATTGAAGGTACTTGCCGTTTGGTAAATGTCACAGTTTTTCTCCTTTCTCTGAAATGACTGACTCGTATGAGAACAAGACAGCTTTGGAAAGAAAGGGTTATGTATAAGTCATACAACACAATGCCACTATTATTTTAACTTATTGATGGGAACTTGCAGAGACTCTGTCCGCCCGGAATTAAACTAAATTAGTAACCTGTGTTCTTTCAGACTACAATCTACATCTATGCAAAATTTCAGCAACATTCGTGGACCCATTCTGGAGATATCTTAAACATCCATCCACCTAAACATTCGCATTTATATTAGTAAGACTAGCTGTCTCCTGTTACATTAGCCTGGGCGGGATTAAAATAAACTTAATCAGTAGTATATGTTCTCTTCCATTTTATAATCTACATTTAAGCCAAATTTCTGCAATTCCGTGCCATTCTGGAGATACCTTAAACATCCATCCAAATATTTGTATTCATAATATTATAAGATGAATACCCAACTTCTCTAACCATAGTTAAGTCTCAAATAAATTAAGTTAAAGTGAACAAATTCTTACATTTCTGGAAAAAGGCAATGAGTGCCTTTGAGATGGCCTGTCTGATAGCGTAGACTTGTGCAACATGACCACCACCCTTCACTGTGACCCTGATGTCAACACCAGCGAACCTTTCCTGAAATATTTACCAAAATAATGTTTGTAAAGATGTATAATTTTGTTCTCATTAAAAATATTTATATTATAATCATGTTTTATTCAGGTTTTATGTTTACTTCACATCCAAAGATGCTCAGTTTCGGAATAAGTATCATTCATCATGATAAATTACAATAAAACAACAAGCTATAACTAAATGTTAGTTATATTAGTAAGAACATAACAAAACAAACTACAAGCTAAATGAAAAAAAAACTGAGCAAATTAAAATGTGAAACAAAACATGCAATAAAATATGGTAAACATAAAAAATTGGTAAATATAAACATAAAATAAAGTGAAAATAACTTGAAGAAAATATAAAGTCATGACAAAAAATGGTACCCATACTGGTAACACAACTCTTACAAACTTACATTATTTTTGTCCCCATTTATGCAATAATATGAGTTTAACTCTTACGTGTTCTTAAGAGATGTGTCTTTGTTGTGCAAATGATTAGTCTTTTACATTCAATATGAATACTACATTGTTAATTTTTTTTCTTAAGACACATAGATTACCAACATAAGATGGATGTTGTTTATGATAAAAAAATATATAAAAACACAAGCAAATACTAAATACGTGCTTAGGCATACTTTTAGTGTCTGCAATATACTTTAATTATACCAACAAATTACAAATAATTTAAGAATATCCCCATACCTTGCCGAGCAATAGAATTGGTTCTTGCAATTTGTACTGTAGCAATCTTGGTTCCACCAGGTCTAAGGGGCGGCCATTCACACGCAGAACTCCATGGCCACGCTTGCAGTATGCCACTGCAGTTGCGGTTTTCTGTCGGATTACAGAAACAATGAAAGTAATTAAAATTTTTAGGTTATTTGTTTACTGCAAAATGGTACATTTGTAAATATTTATATATTAAATTGATGTAATACACAGATGTGAAGTTTTGTATTACAAAACAATAAATTATCTAATAAAAAACCAGTAATGAATAAAAAAAAATTTATGTTAAGAATTCATTTTCTCACAATTTACTAAAACATGAATACAAGAAAAGATATAAGGATGTTATTAGATATAGTTTGTGCCAAAATAAGATATTGATCGTGATTCTCCACGAATTATAACTATAATTTTTCTAGATACAACTAACCGAAATGCTACAAACACGTGGAAGCCACAGCAAACACTTACCTTGCGGCCGAAAACTTGAACCGCCTGAATAGGTTCACGTCTTGCCTGCAAATATGAAAAAACCGTAAGTTTAAAAACATATTTATGAAATTTTATTGCAAATCACAAAGATTTAATGAAAGAATTATTTTCGCGCACCTCCTGCACTGCAGCCATTTTGACAGAGAAAGAATGAAATCGACCATAAACAAAATCAATATGGCTGGGTGGGCCGGGTAAAATTTTTAATTGGCAACTCCGTGTCGAATCGAATACTTATTGGCGAAGTCTATGGTTGAACGACTCGAGAGCGAATATTTTCTGTACTCGATTTATAAACCAAATTAGAAAATAGTCTTCTGTTCTACTCTACAGGTATTTGAAAATATTATTTAGATTATAAGAAAACATTTTTCGAAACGTCAAAAAGAAAAGAATTTTAAGAAAACTTAACAGATGGAGTGGTCCAAAATTTATTGTTAATAAAAACACCACGAGATGGCAGTAGTAGGAACTAATCCATAAAGTGCACATTCCTATCGATGACTCAGTTGTATCGTCATGGATAATGGGTTATGGGTCTACGATATCGTGTCGTATCGCCGCAGTGTTTTGCTGTTTTGTATTCGTCTGACGTAGTAGCAGTGAAGTCGTGCGGTGGAATGCGCGGTAATAGAGCTTGCGTCTACAATGTACCGCGAAAAAGTTAACATTCTCGCGCGAGAGTTTTTTGTACTTTAAAAACTGTGTGAATTTATGTGACAAGAAACTTGTGTGTTTAATATTTACGCAATAGACTTTTATTGTGTGTGGTATTTATTTGGCAACTGGATATTAAAAATTGACGGCTCGTTTGAAGGTAAGTTGAATAAATCTCAAACTTTTTTAATTTAATTACCATGTGACGTTTTAGTTATGTATTTGTTAAGGGTGTGGTATTTATAGTTTGACTTTATAATATATATATTTTGTAGATTAATTTAATAAAATGCCTTTACCTAATATGATATATATTTATATATTCTCTCGTTACATCCTTTATGTTTTTGTTAAGCGCTGCCGCGTCAAAAGAATGAATCACGTACGAATATGACGGACCAAGCAATTAAAATATTTGATTTTACAAAATCCTTAAAATAAAACCTTAATTAATAAATTGAAAATCATTAATGTAAATTAAAACTATATTTGTGTTTAACTTCTTTGAAAATTAGGTAATATAAGTTACGTTAAAAACTTAGCTTTTTTACAGCCCTCGTATGCGTAGAGTTTAATAGAAATTTACCGTTGTCATAAGAAATCATTCTCAGTAGACATGACTAATAGAGTGGAACCCGGTTACTTTGCCACAGATAACATACTCTATAAGATACGGCACCTATTTCAACTTGAAGTGGAATGAAACGATAAAAAAAATGGTAGAAAAAAAATTGTCCTAGTTTTTATTTTATGCATGCAAGAGTGACAGTTTCGTAAGCAAGCAGTCCTTTAGTATAGAAAATATTATGAATGAATCAAATATATAGGTCGCGATTTATCAAAAAGATCAATTGCCTTTTTATTAATTAAGTAATCAACATAGATAACAATTTTACTTAATTAAATGTGTGCTTTTCATGTGTTATGTTTATTGTGGTTAGTTAGAATGGAGTCATGACCTGATTATTTACATTATAGTGACGTAGGTTTAAAGTGCAATTTATATTTTTTATTCATTTGAGCAACAACAAAATAATTATTATTCAAACCAAATACATTATAAAATATACAAGAAAAGTCAAAGAACATTGGTTAACTTGTTTTTTGTATGTTGTATAAATTAACCATGAATTATTCACCTGAGATTTGAACCTCTGTTATATCGTAAATCTGACAAATTAATATCTCAAAGATCAGTGTTACTTGCAAAATATCTCGCCTTTTATTACATAATATTCAGACATAGTTGATTGTGTCCAGTAAATTACTATCAATTTGTAAGATTTCACATTATTAATAGAGAAAGTATATTACGAATAAAAATTTACGAGCAATATTTAATAGTAGTGTTCGACCACGGCTTCGTCAGCGCAGAATTAAAAAAAGTAACCTATAGGGCCAAACTTAAAATCGGTTTAGACGTTCCGGTGATTACCCGGAACAAACGAGGCCTTGTAGACAGACAGTCGAGAATATATCACGTGAACGAAATATTTTTTTTTCGTTATTACATAAAGACATTCCATTTTTATTAATATGTATAGATAAGTACTGCATAATCTATTACATAAAAACATATTAATCTAGTAATAGAAAGTTTATGTTGTTACTTATATTGCCAAGAGAGTACAAGTTGTAAAATTTATAAAAAAATATTTTCCTATCATACTTCATTAACTTAATTAAGTTCAATAGGTACTGTAAAGTTAATACAATAAGGAAACTTATTACGAATAATAAACGCTATGTATAGATCTAGGATATTGTAAAAGGATTAAACACGACCCCATTAGAACGTAGCACAGGAAGCCATACTTGTCGGCCAATGAACGGTGTGGCCGATTAACCATTGCCTTTGCCTCGACTTGCAATTAAAAAATATAAACGTAAAAGATGGCGCGCAATAATTGAATAGTGTCATTTAATATGTAGGTTATATTTGTATTAAAAATGTACTAAATGATTTACAACAAACAAAATTAAATTTATTCCTTGCGTAATTAAATAATAGTACGCGAGTACAATGGATATGCTTGGATCGTGATACATATGTCGGAAAGTATAAAAATTAAATTAATCTTAAGATTAGTACTTTTTATCACATCTATATCTACACTTTATCTACATCTTTGTATGCTTTAAACTTGATTAAAACTAGTTTTTAATGTAATGAACCAGAATATGTCGACGTCCTAAGTCCTAAGGGATAATCTGATTAGTTTATACGTATGATTAATCTACGTGGGAGGCCTGAATACATTTAATACTAAACGGGACAAGCCAACATATAAACCAGTCTCTTCCACATACTTTAGTATTTTTAATGCAATTAATTGAGTTCATTGACATAACTATAATAATCTCTTCTCTTTTATAAGCTTTTATTTAGCTTTCCTGATGTTAACCGTAAAATCTTTAAAATTTGAGCCACTTCCCGATTATTGATATGGCTGAAATTTGACATACGTGCGTAAATATTGTCACAATGTATTATATGACACAGTTCTGATCTGATGGGGGTGGTAGGTGGTCATAGGAACTTCGCAATGAAAACATAACATCATCAAGTTTGGGCGCGTTTGAATCGTCTTGATGGTCTTTCAATGTTAACAAAGGTCTAATGATGGAGCTAGAGGGTGGTAGATCTCTATAGAGATTAATTTTCTTCTTAGCGCTAGTTTTTTTATTATTATTTTTAAATGAACTTGAAGTGTTGATTTAAATCACGAAGTGTTTTGCCATGAACTGTTGTACCTATATTTTTTCGTTCATCATTCGAAGTACGACTTTTTACTTCTAGGAGTATTACTTAACAACAAAAGAGTACTTATTGTACATTACTTAACATCACCTAGTTAAGTAATATATAGGAACTTAGTCAAGTGTGGTAACCGAGGAACTATCCGATGTACGTTTTCCTAAGGCTTCGTTAATAGTATTAGTTTCATTCTGTATTAAACGTAACGCCTACAACTCAGAGAGGTAACCAAAGATAACTATTTGGCTTGACAACTGTTAAAACTCGTACAGCAGCGTTTTTTAATGTTTTCCAAATCGCTACGACTTTAAGTCCTTCAAGAAAACATACCTCTTCCTCAAAGGCTGATGCAGTTGCTCTGTTATGGCATCTATCCACTGAACGTTTGCCCCCTAGTCTTATTAAAAAAAACTAAGTTTATTTTTTTTCTGTGTATTCAAACATTATGCCAGACGTTAATGTAATCCAGACCACAAAAAAGGTGCACTTACATTGTCATTTTTAAATATCTTCCCGTATCGTACGTGAGTCATTTTAAATCTTGATGGAATGCGCTTATCTTAATTATATTATCTCTGTTACGTGCTTGCAAATGTGCTTACCAAAGCTTCGTAATTTGTATATTCGATTCCAATGTACATGGGACATTATAACAACAAGAAACCTTTCTAAACAATAATACCTTTATACGGATTTAATAACAGATGATTAAAAAGCAGACATTTCAAACGCTCTCCAAAATAAATTAAAAAATGTACAATTTTACTATTGTTATAATGCGAATATTAAGACGGTCGGAAGGTTGTCACTTACATGGTATTTTCAGAACGGTAGCATAGATCTCGCTAAAATTTGGCATAGATATAGAGCTAGGAAGAACACATAGACTACTAATTAAGTTTCTTTTAGTAGACAATAAACGACATTGCCAGTGATATGTGAAATATAATTTGTTTAATTCGACCATACTCTTTAAAGACCAATCACCAACATATTGGTAATATGAAACATCAAACATACGTTTAGTAATCATGTAGGCCACTACTGTTTGTTTTTATTTCGTTCAATAGATAAGATATAGATAATATTTAATCTAACATTTATATTAATTCATCGTTTAGCTTATTTCTTTTCTATTTAGTTTTTTTATTATTATAAATTAAAGGACTATTTTCTCCTTAATGTGTTAATAAATTCTATTATATACTATATTGCTTTATATTTACTATGTCATATTGCAACACTATATTTACAAATATCAATTATAATAAGTTATGACTAAGTAACCGCAATGACAAGCGTATACATATATGTAGTACATACCTTGTACATAAATGTTAGTTGCTACAAAAACATGTTTATATATGTTTACCGGAAACAGTATTTAAAGGATTATATTCAATTTATACAAATTAAATAACGTAAATTAAGCGAGCTACATTAAAAGGAAGTCGCACGGTACATACAATTATTTTAAAAATTGAAATTCATTTAAAACTGGCTATCGCCCATGCTCCGTTCGCGCGGAATTAAAAAAAAAACTTAAGTAGCCTCTTTTCATTTCATCAAGATCTGTGCAGCCGTTCTGGAGATACTTTCTCACAAACATCCATCCACCCATTTAAGCTTTATTAAGTAAGATTATTAGTTTGTATCTTAGAGAAAAGTGCCTCCGAATCGAAGAGCGCGTGACTACCAGGACCAAGCTACGTAGAAATGTATATTCCCTGTCTACCTGGATCATGATATGACAAGACTATGAGATGATATGTCGTATATAAACAAAATACCACGTACGACAGATAAACGGATGAATGATATTATATTTCATGTAACTAAAGTTCATGTTACTAAGTTCTGTGTACGATCATGGTGGCACACATCCGCTCTAGATAAATTCTCACTTGATTTGCAATCGTTTAATGTAAATGGGTATGTCACCACCAGATTGTGACCTACGACTGTTTATGAACTGACTATATGTTTTAATAGCAATTGATCTAAAAATTATTTGATAAATTTGTTTTTAGTGATAATTACAATCGAAATCGAATAAATATCGATGCAAAATAACTGACATGAAATAACCCGTAACTGTATAAATTTCCTACACAAAAAGACAGATAAGTAAGTTTATAATTTAACAATTTATTTGACAGTTCATAGACAATAGAGACAAGTTTTTTTTAATTGTATAAGCACTTGACCAAGTTCACATATGTTGGTGACAAATTCATAACTATACGTGTGTACTTTAAAAGCTATAAACTTTCAAAATTTGTCCCATAGTGTTAGTAGGTTGTTGCCCTAAGCTTGTTACAGAAAAAAACGTGCGCGTGCGCAAGCTAGTTGTAGGAAACTTGCATAGTCGTTAGCTGACTTGTAAATGATGTTTAATTTGACTTCCTTACAAGTGAATTACGTTGTGTAAGGAAGTCGACAAAAAGGTGTTTAATTATAACTGAGATATAAAATAGATTGCCAATCAAATGATTTACTTTAACTTCTCGTGTAAATCGAATAAATTTTATATCGTAACAATTACAAGTAATTAATATAGCTTTAATAATGTACAGTCGGTGGCTCAGGGGTTAAACACTTTACTTGCAATCTGCAGTCCTGGGTTCGACTCCTGCCATGTACCAATATGTTTTTCGATTTCCGATTACATATATACATTTATACGACGTTCTTAAGTTTTAGGAAAACATGTGATGCAACCTGCACATGTCCGAGAAGAAATTCAAAGATATGTATGAAGTCAATCAACCCGCACTTGTCCAGCGTGGCTGACTATGTCCTAATCACCCTAACTTAGCGTCGGCTCCGAGCCCCTCGGTGGGGATGTATAGTGAGCTGATGATGAATGTAGCGTTGCATCTGTACTTGAATAAAGGTAGGATAATGTTATTTTGCATATTATACAGGTTAATTTTATAATGTTATCCTAAAGCAGGGATTGAGAACCAATGGCGCGCGATATAAAATTTGGTCACGTGACTGGCCATAAAATTCATAATGCATTACATATAGAAGTGTTAAAATGATTTGGCACGACTACGAGATCGTTTAACTTTTTTTAATAGCACGTTGATACGTAAAGGTTCGTCATATTTGACATATTTTGAGATGTCATTTGATTCTTACGTCTTTGGATGTCTTGAATACACAGGCTGGCTTTTTGTCATCATCATCAGCTCACTATACGTCGCCACTAAGGGGCTTGGACCCTAAGTTACACGTGACTAGGTCATAGTCGTAATAATTAATTATCTAGTCTAACAGTTCGCCGAAAACGTGACATTTCAATGTTTCGATGACAAAGGGAGTCTGCCATGTAGTGGCAACTATCATGACTCACATCGACCACTCCTCACTTATACTCGTATCTGCATACAATACGCACTTCAATCTCAAACTCACTAAGTTCCGATCATAATCTCATAGGGTATATGAACTCAAGAATTAAATAAATAAGATAAGAAGACTGCTATTATTTCAATGTATGTATTTTTTATTTTATTACTTTCGATGTTCTTTTTTTTTTGCGTAAAAAAAGTTAGCGGACTTGTAAATGTGTTCTAACTTTTGTTAGGAAGAAAATCGGACACTGTGCCGGTGTACTGGCGCAACACTAGCCTTACTAAAATGTCGAATTTTATGTCCTCTCACTAATCATTCTGACGTTTGACTTTGTAACGAAAGAGGGCCATTCTGATTCACCATGGGTTTTCGACACCAAAACTTTTGTATAAAACATATGATAATCCCTTTCATCTTTGTCAAAACAGAGATAACAATATGTTTTATACAGAGATTTTGCTGTCTGAAACACATGGTTAGTTCTTCAGCTGAAAGTAGTCAATTATTTAAAATTCTTCTATATACATTTTGACTTTCATAACGATCTACTCTGTGACATTATGTCACAACATCGAGTAGACTAATGATCGACCGGTTTTTATATCATATTGCGTTATGTTAATACATATAGTACGTTCCGTGGCACAGATTAATTTTATATGAGCTTACGAAAGGGGTCCCTATACATAGAATACGATTATATAAAAATACTAGAAAATAACTTACTTTTCTTATCGCTACAAGGGTAAAGTTTTAATCGAATACTGTATATCGATATGTATAATAAAAAAGATACAAAAGGCAGTTATCCTAGAAACCGCGCGCATCGTGAGAAGGTTCCTGTCTCTGTAGCCCTGACCACTGGTTGTTTGAGTCATGGGATTCCGCAGCCGGTGGTGTTCTATTTTTAATATAATATAATATGTTTTGTATATATTTTTTATATGAAATGTATAATACTATATTAAAAATATGATGAATAAATTAATACGTTATAATAATATATCGATGTTTTGTTACATCCCTACGGATTTAATCGATACTTTTCAAGCCGAATGACCGATCAATGCTAATGCAAGTCAATCACATATCGATCCCGTTGTAAAAACACTCGATTAGTATCAGAAAGTATCCTGATAAGGTACAATTAAGCTATTACGAGGCGAATGAATCTTTAATGTATGTCTTCATATGTCGCCATGTGTAATTTTAAATAGTACACTTTTTAGTGATGTGATTTAATCAATGACGATGTTTTTATCGAAGTTACAAGAAGCTTACATGAGAGTAATTCAAAAATTACTAATTGCAAAATGTTGCTGAACATCTTAGAAAAACCGATCGTAAATGTAGGTAACATTATTATAAAAATTTCTTATCTTATACTCGATCCGATGTATAAAAAAGCCCTATGAAGACTACATATAAATCTATTTAGTACCATTGAATAAAAGCAGGTCAAGAGAATGGCCAATGTCCTACATAATATATATGGTTGCATTTAGTTTCCGAGTACGCTGCCTTGTCCTAGCAGCCCTAGCCATAAATGTCGATACTATGTCACACGGAAGAGTATTTTTATCGATACATCAATGCCGAGGTGAACTACACATGCCTAGAAGATGCAATTGTGGAATATTATTGATATCGCATTTATATCGATTATGTTATTTCGATTACTAGCTGGCGACTATGAATCCCTCCGCACGGTATTAAAAAAAAAACTTTATTAGTAACCTGTGTTTTCAGACTATGCTCTACATCTATGCTAAACACCGAGTTTCCTTAAGCCGTTCTGGAGATACCTTCTTATATTCATCCATCTATCCATCCAAACATTACAAAAAGATTAAAAGATACAAGTAGTGCAACAATCAATAACTATATTGAATATCGATTTAAAAATCGATTAAAATTTAGTTTAGAGCCAAATGCAATGTCTCGAAGTAAGTCGATGTTTGAATCGTTCTGAGAATACGTTTCCATTGAAAAAGGAATGCAATCCAATACGTTACGTTGTTATGCTTTGATGTGTTGTTAATTCATTTCTTTTCCTTTACAGGTGTCGACTTTTGATTCTGTTTTCGCCGAAACATTTACAAAGTCAAGTAAGTAGAATTTTCTATTGAAATCTTTAATACAAAATTCCCGTGTCACGATGTTAGTTACCAACCTCCAAAACGGCTTGACCGATTTTTATATGTTATATGCATATTCAATAGGTCTGAGAATCGGCTACTATCTATTTTTTAATCTCACGCGGACGGAGTCGCGGGACACTCTAGTTAATTAGTTTTTTTTTATATAGAAATAAGTAAGTAGGTAGGCATCGCATACGTTATTGCGTATGTCTATGGGCAACGGTCACTTCACTATTTCAGCGATTTCAGGTGGCCGCTCGCTCGTTTGCCACCTTTTGATATAAAAAAAGTAAAAAGCGTGTATAAACTATTAGAAGCACGAAATTAAATTTGCTTTCTTTTTGGCTTTTTAAAATCAAACTAAATTGTCTCGAACGATCATAGTCACCAGAACAAAATTATATTAGTTTCAAGTTAAATCAATGACGATAGAAAAGGATTAAGTAATTGAGACCAATAGTGGCCGAGATTTGAATAAATCTTTTCAACTTGGAATGCTTAGAATGTTGGCACTTGAGTCGTGATAATTGTTTATGTTCTTAAAAATACAATTTCTAAATACATATTTCAAACACCACAGCAATGTACTCACTTACATTTATCGTGGGAATTTGTTTTATATAGAAAGTGCTTTATCAGTTCTAGAAAGTTCTTAGTGACGTCATAATCCATAAGTACAGATAAATAAAAAAATGAATTATGTATTTTTGTATAGTTTTAATTTCATAAAAATGAAAATTTGTTGTAACTTTTGTTCCTAACACATTTTTCAATAGTGACTTTTGAGCTTCGGAGGCTCAGGGCTTAAGCTCTTGACTTGGAGTCTACAGGTCCTCGGTTCAAATCCGGCCATGTACCAATAGTTTTAAAAAATATGTATCGGACGTTCTTACGAAATTCAAAAGATATGTGTAAAGTCAACCAATCCGCATTGGGATAGCGTGGTTGACTAGAAGCCTAGTAACCTCTATTAGGCTAGAGTTCAAACCCCTCGGTGGGTATAGTAAGGTGATGATGATGGCTTTAATATTGAACCAGAGACAATCAGGGAAAATTTATCGCAATTTATCTGATTGTCTCTGCCTATTACGCTATAAAAAGTTATTAAATTATAAATCGCTTAAAAGGCAAATCGGATTAATCCAATAGGTTATTTTATAAGATAAGCGATAAACTTAATTAAAGTCTTGCTTTTTGTTCATTAAATCGTTACGTTTTAAAATTCTTTCTCGCTTCAAACGAGTTTCTTCTTTTTTTCTTTAGATCGCTTTTTTCCTCGCAAACCATGACTTTGTTGATGGTTCAAGGTTGGACAATAATAAGTTTTAATGTACTAAAGATTCACATGAGTTTTTCTTGTATTTATAAAGTTAATATAAGTAAGATTTTAACATACATTGATACTATAAAGTTGAATTTTGTGAGAAAACGAATATTATGTACTCTTAAAATGGTATGGGCCAAATCTATTTGACCGCTTGCGTGTTTATTTCTTATTACAAGTATTTGTTCTTCATCCTAAGGTCTTAGGATTTGTATTTATGACCTTTAAACTACTCTAGATTTAAAATAATTTTTATATATAATAGAAACAATATTGTAATAATTGAAAACAGCGAAAGTAATTTTAACAAACTTTAGACTTGAATGAATCAGAGGTAATCGTGTAGTTCCGTGATATAATTCGGTTTCTGAGAACAAGTTCCGACATTCCCCAACGGAGAGTTGAACCTAAAGTTGTGAATGGATCCTCACGTCATAGTTATGAGTCATTGGTTTTGTTTTTTTTTTCATATCTTTTTTTTACTACGTTACGCGCCAATGAAGACTGAGTCATTATTGATATTTTTTATCAATAAGTTTTTGTGGATTTATCGATTTTAATAAGTGTAAAAACAAATTTAAAACAAAAAGGTTATTTATGGTTGGGTGTTGTGTGATATTTATTTTTATATTTGTAAAGCTGTCGCCCATGACTATCCGTGCGGAATTAAAATAAAACTTAATTTATAGCCTATGTGTTTTTCTAGACTACATCTATGCCAAAATGTCACCGAGATCGTTAAGCCGTTATGGAGATACCATCTAACAAACATCCATCCATCCATCCATCCATCCAATGCATTTATAATATTACTTCGTAAAACAATGCTTTTCGCGTATAAAATTAACGGATTTTAAAAATAGAATCAACCATAGATATTAACAAAAATTTTGTATTAAAAAGAAACCAATGTAATTAATCAACAAAATAACGTGAAAGTCAAGTTAATTTTAATTTTAGTTTCGATTAATAATTCACCTCAACAATTAGAAGGATTCAATCACATCATAATCGTGACATGTCACTGAAATTAGGACATGTACCGATTGCTACTTCTAACTGTAAACACACCGGACGTTCTACACAATAGCACACACGGTAAATCCCCACTGTTGTTACACCTGTGTAAGAACAGTATTGCCATCCGTTTCTGTCTCTTTATAAAGGAAAGAGATAGCAATGCACGACATAAATGTCACGTATGACAATCCGCCATTATTAAACGTGATTGTAAAATAGGTTATGTCGTTAATTAAATCCATTTGAATCCGTTTTTGTTTAATTGTTTTTTGTGCATTGTTTTTGTTTTGATAAACAGTTTTATTTGTACTATAAATGTGTTTATTTATTTTTGATCAATAATATTTGTTTGATTTATAATAACTATTGTTATGGAAGTTTTTAAAGTAAATAAAATATTGAACAAATTTAAAAACCATTATAGCTTCGGAAATCGAAGACAAGAGGGTGATCAGATAGTTTTCGACGTCTTAACAATCTAACCCTTTATTATGACATTGCTAATGGCGTTTTGATCGGCAAAGGTGTTATTGACAACGACAAAGGAAGTGTCAAGCTATTGATTACCGTGTGAACATGGGAAGTTTTGTTACTTTGAAATGATTACGCCTAATGTTTTATACCGTTACTATGCTTAGATTAAAAGAAAATTGCTTATCAAAAGGCTTATTTCTAGTTCTTAGTAGACAGACAGACTAGACAGATTCCCTCCGCGCAAAATTAAAAAAAAACTCAATAAGTAGCCTGTGTGTTTTTCCAGACTATGATCTATATCTGTTGCTTGCATTAAGATCCGTTGAAACGTTCCGGAGATACCTTCAAACATACATCTATCTAAACTTTCGCATTTATAATATTAGTAAGAAGTCAGATAGTTACTCTACGTCAGTCTTTCCCAAAGCGGTCGATAACGCCCTTTTGTGGGCACTGCAGGTCTCAAGTTGCGGGTTATAGTAAAAGTTTCGTTTAGAATTCTCCGTTAATATACATATATAGGTCACAATAATTAATTAATTTAATTTGAAGTTATAGTGGTTTTTAAATATGTGAAAATATGGGGGGCGCTAAAAAAATATTTATTCTCAAAGTGGGCTGTAGATAAAATAAGTTTGGGAACCACTGCTCTACGTTTTTAGTTGAAATTATTTCCACAACTTTATCAAAGAACCTCTCGTTTTGCGATACGTGAAGGCCATAACAATTAGACAATCGAGTTAATTGATGTTCAATTGTACGGATGCTGTATTTGCTGATTGAGGTTTTTGTACTAATTCTTTGAAACTAAACTCGTATTAATAGTAAAATGAACACGTAAAGTAAACACTACAAAAATAAACTTAACTAAGAATGAAAAACTCCAAAGAAATAATACTATAGCTTTATTGTAAGATGCAGCAAAGCTTAGCGTCTAAAAGGCTCTTGTTTTTGAACGTCGAGAAGATTATTAACGCTAAGAAGATTATGTCTTGATAATTAAGAAACTTTCAAGAGATAATTGCTACTTCTAGTCGCAGACAAGATAATGGCTGAATAGTGTAAGTACTTATTTATGTACTGAATTATTAATATAAAATCCTAAACGATATTTTAACACGCAACAACTTTACATATAAACCTCATCTAGCTAGCGATAGCGTAGTTAAAAATTCATGTATACGTTAACAATACTTATAATGCCAATAGTAAAACATTTAGCTAGAGTAATTGTAATTTATACGCGAGGTAAAAAACAAGGATAAAAAAGTTAATACGCGTATAACAAGTTTGTATTGGCTTCTGTAAGTAGCGAGTAGGTCTGCGGTTGCTCCGTCGCCCAGTGCGATACGTGTTCGGAATTCAAACTGATTCATCGGGATTCTAAAATGGCGGACTGTCAACTGTTTCCCGCCTTTATTACGCAGTTTCTGGAAAATTTGCATGTGATCGCAATATCGTTATGCAACTTTCTTATAATCTTTCGTATTTTCTTTTTAATTTTCATTCAAGATCAGCCAATCTATCTATATGATATCGATTTCAAAAATTCTTCTGCGATTAGAAAGCTACATTATCACTGACTAACATAGGTCATAATTATTACTAGAATGTAATTTTTTAATGTCGCGTGTAAACTCTATGACTTAAGTGTTGACATTATAAGATGCTTTGCTAAATTTTTTTGAAAGGAGTTTAAAATCCACTTTAAGTTGTGTTTAAATTTCTTCAGAAACGCGAAAAATATTAGATATTGTTTAAAAATTAGTGTATTCGATCTTTAGTACCTAACTCAAGTCATTATCGTATAGAACTGACACTGGCAGAATAAACAATTGAACGGTCAGCAAAAGACAATTGATATATATGAATAAATACAATAAAACAAACACTAGCTGTTTAGACGAACGATACTAGACACTTTACCTAACAAACGGGATCTTAATAAGATCATCATTCTGTCCTTATCCTACTCTATGTAAGGTAAGAACGACAGTTTTAGGCCATCCAAATCAAGATATTTATAATTTAAGCAGTACTTCTATTATGAGTAACTCCTAGAAGTCAAATCATTTATACATCTGTGGGCAATTAATACTTCTACTTTTGTTAGTTCTTGCGTTATTTGACATTTATTACCTTTGTTCAT